GTACCCTTTGAGGGAGCTCTGGTTCTTTTGAGCATCACTTTCCATCTCCAGTGCAGATCCCTCAGCCTGCTAGCACAGCTCCTTTATTGCACTGACACAGACTTCCTAGCTTCCACCACTGACCTTTGGGCCTTCCCAGCACAGATCCGTGAAACAGGCCTGCATGAGATATTGTTATGGGCTCTAGGCCTCCAGGTGGACTCGTGGGAGGCATTGTTATGAGCTCTAGGTCTTCAGTTGGACTCATGCAGGACATTTCCGAGGGATCCAGGCCCTCGGCTGGATTCCTTAGTCTCAGTGTGTGGACAGATGTCCTGCACTCTTGGTGTATCATCCATTGGGTGACTGTTATAAATAATAGGGCCGGGGATATAGCTCAGTGGCACAAGCTCCTGCCCGGCAAGCACAAGGTCCTGAGTTTGATTCCTGGTACAAAAATAAATAAATAAACAAATAATCTTATAAAATATGTGTCCTGTATTATATTGTTCTCCCTTGCAAAAATGTCCCCCAAACCGTAACAGTGCTGAAGACTTTGCTCCGGTGATTTGCCACATGCGTGCTGGCCACACACTGGAGTTAGAGTTGATGATCCACCGAGGTTTACCCCACACCACCCACAGCCTCCCAGATCAAATAGGTGTATTCCCCTGGCAGTCTGGGCAACGGAGAGCAACAAGAAACATTTTTAGGTTGTTTTAAACGCCTTTTTTTAAACTTCCAGTTTATTGCATAGCAAGAGTGGATCATAACCTCCATGCTTCATAAGTGGACACCATGTTAGGGTTCAGAGTGGGCACCATGAGTCCTCTGAGGACCCTGGACAGAGACCCGCACCAAGATCGGAAGCCTGCGGATGGCACTGCAGATCTCATCGCTCAGTGAGCCGCGAAGGTTAGAAAGTCTCACCCCACTCACGGGTGGATCATCCGGCACTCTTCCCGCATCAAGTCTCCTGGTGTTCCGTGGAGCTCCAGTGGGGCCTGCTGAGGAATGGAGTGCAGATGCCCATGGGAGGCCTGGTGTCACCACTGTGGGAGGTGTGAAGGGAGAGGCCTCTTCCTCACCAGCCGGCTGCCTCACCCCTCCCTGGTAGCAGTGCCTGCATAGCCGGATCTTGGTTCTCAGAAGCGCAGATGGGCAAACAGCCCGTTGGGTCGGGCTCGTTGTCATAGAGAATCTGGGACCTCTGAGCTGGTTGTCTTTTCAGGCAAACATCCTGAGGGACCTTTAAGCAGGCAAGTTCATTTATCTAGCTTGCCTAAAGTAGGAAGACTGGTGATGTTTCTGTCCCTTAGAAGACTCTGGCGCAAAGCCGATTAGTTAAATACAAGGTAAGTCTTTATCTTGCCTGCCATGCTGGGAGTTTTAACCCCACCGGGGCATAGCTCTGAATTGGTCCTTTTTTTCTGGGTCGTTTAAACTTCCACATGACATTTCCCTTCCCATCATTTGCCCATCATTTTCTCCCTTGACTCTTCTTCACACATGTGGTAGCAAAGGTAGAACTGGGGGACTTGGCAGAGGCTTTGCAAGCACTGTCTCAGAGACACTGATGCTAGTGACGCAGGGAGAGATGGCCAGCTGAAGAAAGGGTCCCGGGACAGTACACTGGGTCTCCACAACATGCCTGCAGAACCCTAGAAGTGGATCGGGTGTCAACCCAGTGAACACGTGTGTTGATTTACTTTATTTTTTAGTTTATGGGTTGTTGGTGTGGCTTTCCAAAATGGGCGTAGATTCAAGTTTAAAGATCTTTGGAGCTTTCTTCCAGGAAGTGGGGAGGGGGAGTAGGGTACAGTGTAAGAAGGCACTGCCCTCCAGTTCCTGGTAGGGTTGGTCGGGGGAGCAGCTTCATCATGCTGCTGGCAGGACCTGGGGTATGTGGGAAGACTTGGGTGACATCAGGGTGCCCAGGCTATGCCCCCTCATTGCCATGCTGGGTTCCCATGACCTGCCACAGTCCCTTTGTAGTGTCAGTGAAGGTGAAGGGGTCATCCCATGATGTCCTGCTGCTGAGGATGATAAATATCTTGCTACAGATATGACAACAGTTACCCTTAGGTGCCATGGGTTGTCAGGGTGGTCAGCTCTGGAGTAAGCCACCCACTCCAATTTGTACAACAGTGTTGATACATAAGGTTACACTCATTACTGTTCACGTGTTCTATGTTAAAAGTTGTGTTTGATTTCTAAAGATTTTTTAAAAAGCAAAAAAAGTGGTGCTAAACTTTCACCCCCGAGCACGCTCAGTGAGACTGGTCATGCAAGCATTTCCAGTGGCGTACTCCTCAAGCCTATTTTTCTTGTAGAAATGCTGCCCTATTTGTCTTCCCCAGTGTATAGTATGTATTTTATTTTACTTTATTTTATTGAGGGTGGGGTAGTATACCTGCTATTTAAGAAAATAAAATTTTTAAATCCTCCAAAATAGGGGAAATCCATGCACAAGAATAGGGCTGGTGACGCCCAGCATCACACCGAGGTAGCTCAGCGGTTGTGGAGTGAAGAAGACTTATTCCCTGAACACTCCCTCACGCTCCTCTAACAAGTCCAGCAGTGGAGGTCCATGAGGGCCTCTTGCCTTGTCAGAGGGCTCAGAAGTCAGCCAAGCGAAGCTGCATGGGATCTGTTAGAGTCCATCCTGATCAGAGCATTTCAGGAAGCAGTCTGGAGGGGTGTGGTCATGGTGTCCTCGGGGAAACGTGGGGGAGGTGGCCCTCAGGAAAAATACCTGGTCTGGATCATCCACTCGGCAGCTTTGCATGAGGAGGTGGCAGCTCTGAGCCGGAGCAGATCTGCTTTCCACTTGCTTGACCAAAGCAGTAATGAGGGTGGGCGGTACATGCCAACACCTGGGAGGGAGAGCAAAGGAGGTGCTTCCTGCCCGATGCTTCCTCTGTTCTTGGGCCACTGAGCAGTAGGTAACCACTGTTGTAAGGAACCGGCCCAACTTCCTGGCTCGGTTTGGAGTGTGTTTCATCCCTAGCTGTGAGTGCCTTTTGGTCTGGAAAGTTGGCTTGTCTCATAATACCCACAGCTAGGACATTTTCCCTATAATTATGAATTGTCCTTGTTTTACATTAACTAAGAGAGTCTTTGATCACTAGAGTTTGTCAGTGTTGGATTGTTTCCATTGTGAGGTTCTTAAAACTTTTTTGCTGCATAATATTGAAACAATTCACGTTAGATACCCTTTCCACATGAAAGGTTTATAGTTGAGACATCACATATATTTTACCGTTTATAATAAAAACTATCTATACAAAAGAAGTCCTGGCTGTTAATTTTAATATTTTGCACAAGATCTGTTTTCTGTGATATGTTAACATCTACAATTTCACTAACTGTTGATGTTTTTTTCTATGAAGATTTCTGGAGCCCAGGGATCTACTTGTTCTTTTTGTTTATTTTTGTTCTTATTTCCCTGAAGCAAGAGACTCTATGGCCTTCAGTGCAAAGATTTCAGACCAATTCTTTGTAACACACTTGGTTGCCTCTTGGCTATATGACTTCTGAGTGCAAATCATTGAACTCTCTAATGAAGTATTGTACAGAATAAATCATAATGGGTTAAAAAAAAAGGAGGGGGCTAGGGTTATGACTCAGTGCTGAAAGCCCTGGGTTCAACCATTGGTACCGAAACAAATATATAAACAAACAAACAAACCTCTTTTCTTTATAAATTACCTAGCATGTGGTATTCAGTCGTAGGAACAGAAAAGGGGCTAAGACAACTACCAACCATGCTGGCCAGATGCAGGGTACCATCTCATGTCCCAGGACAGAGGACATACATGTCCACGTGTAGCTCCAGAGTCTGGCCATGCCTGGCTGCCTCTGACCTGGGGCAGGTCTCACAGGTTCCTTTCCTGAAGGTTTTCACAGGACCCAGCTCCTGGCTGCTTGGGCTGGCCTCACCCTTGGCACTCAGATCTGCAGGAGAAATTGAACTCATAGCCCCTGCTGAGCACTGGGGGGTCCCAGCTCCAAAATGAGCCACTGTCCTGCCTTGGGCACTGCCCACTAAGTGGCTTTGCTTTCCCCAGTCATGGCTTCACGAAGGGAAGCCCCTGCCCGCGCAGCTGCCTGACATAAACTTGGACTCGGATGGGAACTCTAGAGCAAACAGTGAGGTGCTCAGGTTTCTTTGCTTTTCTCTTTTTGTGATACTAGGAATTGAACCCAGGGCCTTTGCACTGAGCTACACTCCCTAGTCCTT